GTTGTTGTCGCGTACACTAACCACGTCGTCGGCGTTTGGTCCTCCAGTGTTAGTGGACGGGAAGAAATCGTCCGATGTTCTACTCGAACGATTCACCGTCAATGTCGAAGTCGTCTAACGATACGCGCATCAGACGGGGCGCAGTAGTTGTCAGGGGGTGGAAAGGAGGGCCACAGTCTCGGATTCCTCCGCCGCAGGTACGGATCACCATACCGTCTCCGTATCGTTGTGGTGCACAATAATAATATGGTCACGGAAAAACCCTTGGAAGGGGAGGAGGTTCCGGTTAGGTTAATTTGTGAGCGGGTTTTGCATCCTCTACCCCTTATCAAACACCACTTACCTCACACATTTATATAGTTCGTAAAACGTTTGGATTAAAAATTATTTAAAATTTTTTATTAATATAAAACAGTTGAATATGAATAACATTGAATTTTTAGAATGAGATGGTTGACGGTTATTGAGAATGGGTTCGTTGATTGTTTATTATCAGCAGTTGCTTGTGGAAAGACCCCATGACACCACATTCGTTTGGTGGCTTTCTTGTTTACCTTACCATGACGTGGTATTCATTTAACCATGACAGTACTGCTACCAGTAGATTATACTCCGATAGTGATACATTTGTGTTACGATTCTGAATTAATGTTATTTATACAGTTAAAATTAAAACCTGAGCCTAATTTTTGCACAGGGTGTTTCAAAAAGAACGCAGGATTTAAATCTGTTATGAATTAAATTTATTTCTTTTAAAAAAACATAAAAAATATAACATTCTCATCGGGAGAAGTTAAGGTTTAACAGTGAAAAACAATATCAGACACATGACCCTTCCTACTAGCCCTACAGGCGATTATTCTTTCCATAAAATTTACCATAACCGGATAGCACATTAGCCCATCAATTTCGTCAAGGACACGAAGAATTTCTTGCTTAAGTTATGAGACATTTCGAATTTTGTTCCGGTAAACTCGTAACTTAGTATATCACTACAAGAAAAAATTACAAAACGCAAGATCAAGTTGGGTAGAGTATAATATATTTGTTAATTTATAATGTTTAAATTGTGTATTTCTCTTTCTCTCTACCTTCAATAACGTGTTCGTTCAGTGGCGTAACCAGAAAAATACTTTCGGTAAGGGCTTACATATTAAATCGTCTCCTACATAAGTACCAACTTTTTAATTTTTTTTTAATTCGATTAAACATAAGTTAAAACATAAAATGTGTCATTTTTTAGTGGTACTGAATCAACATAGTCTTCAAAGAAGTGTAATAATGTCACGATGGATGTATAATAATGCCAAATTACACTTGTGTTTTAAAAGTATTGTATATTTTACAAAGTAAAAAAGATATTTCGGAGGGAGGATGGGGTTTATAAGCCGTCAACCCTCCTGGCTACGCATCTGCGTTCGGTCTGAATCAGTGTCTGATTATATTAATGTACCATACGATCTCTATGTATTATAATTACTTATGTCGACGGCTGCGGACCATGTAAAGTTCTTGCTTTGAACCCGGTTGATAAGCATGTTCAAGTTCACGGAAACGCCAGACATTCGTTTCACGCATACCTAATATAATACAATATAATAAACGCGCACCGTGCGCGGTTCAAGTTCATTTTAACGCGACCGCGACGTGTCATTATTAAATTACCGATACGATACGTATAATATTATAATAGACGTTTCGCACACGATCTCCTGCGAAAAGTGGTCGTCTTTGACAGTATCAGATAAACGCCGCACGCGTATCCACAGTGCACGGTCCACCTGCACAACTGTGGGTCCGTTTTATTGTTATTGATTGCTAAAAAAAAAATTCTCTCATTTCCTTGTCCCTCCCCGCGTTCGTTCGATACCTAACGCTCGCGTGGTAATACATCTTTAACAAATCGAAATATAATAATAGATAGAAAAAACTACTTTTTTCAATACGGGTGACAGTAAAAACGAAAAGGACAAATATATACGAGGTCGCGATAATATTCCAACCTTAACACCACAATACACATGTACGCTTATACTTCTGTACGGTTCAAGAACATAATATCCCCGTACATGCCAGGTATTATTTTTACCGCAATGGTATTCCGTTTATTTGCGGACGCGTTCGTTAACGTTATATTGTGTTCGTTAGATTTCTCAATCATTATATTGAATCCTTGATTGTCTATAATATATACTGTAAACGGTATATAACTTAAAAAAAAAAACATGTAAATTAAAGCAATCTAACTAATAGTTCAAATGTATACTCTCACGAACTAAACACAAACGAATTAAAATACGCTAAGAAATTCGTCTCGGAGTAGATGCAACTATAGTGTGCATTAGATTTACATTTAAGTAATAATTTGGTATAAATATATATGTGTAACCGAAACCTGAACTCCACCCGATCATTGATTAATACAAAGTATATATCATAGCTAAAGAGGTTAGGTTTTATATGTCAAGCCGCTCCGGGTTGAATAAACGTTTTATTCTGTGCTCGACTTGAAAGAATCGTTACGATTTGAGGATAGAAATTCGACACCTAGCGTGTATGCCCTTCAACACGGTTTCGCTTCTCGGACAGAGAATACCTAATTCTGATAATGAGCGTACACAACCGTGGGAGCGAAACAAAACTTCACAACTATATTTCTTTGTTAAATGTACTTGTCAAACAAATTCCTTGAAAAGTCGAGTACTTCATGAGGATATACTCGTATTTCATAAAAACGTTGATGGATTTTGTATGGAGTGTTTGATGAAATTAAAATTGAAAAATCATTGCTCGACCACTAGTAAGCCTCGCTTCGTTCGGGATATAAAGTACAAATATTTCAAACGAGTGTTGTAGTGCGAGCAAAAGGACAAGTCTGTACGATTCACAGTCCTCGTCCCCGGGACTCAATCGGAAGCGTGTAACGCACACACGGTTCACGCACTCGCTGGAGGTGAAGAGAACACGAGTTGTTCGTTTTCTCGCGATGTCAAGCGAATATCATTCATAACATTAGTGTGTTCAACAAATGTTACAAATCTGCGTCGTATCGTTCCGTGCGTAGTGTATTTCCGGCCAGTGGCGCAACCAGGATTGGTTTTTTTTTTTTTTTTTAGGATGGGGGGTTGTGAATTTGGAAAAATAAGCATTTTCTGCAGGCGTTTGGTAGAGATAAGGAAGTAAGATTAAGTTAGGTTTATGAGTAAGATATTTAAATTACATATTAAACTATTTAACTTATATTTCATATCGTGATGCCACAAAAAAAATTATTGTACAATCGACTATCGAGAAATCGTAGTAGGAAGGTTACTGCAGTAACATCATGATGTTTTAAAATTGAACAGAACGTTACCAAACGTTTCATATTGTCATGTTATAATTTTATCTATTATATTACGAATAATATTCATATTTCATGAATATTATTATGAATGACGGACTGAGTTAATATTTCAGGCAGGGAATTTTTTTTGCCAGGCCAAAAACTAACAGGGGACCAACGATTTGGTCATAAGTAGGGCTCGGAACTTAATGAAATTAAAAATTACTAAATATGCATGCACTTATGCGCTTAAAAAAGTACAAATGCTCTAAAAATATGCACTTGTATTTTATTTTTGTACACCAAATTTTCATATACACAAATATTTTATAAATATAGAAAAAGCAAAGTAATAAAAATAATTATGATTTTTAATTTTTAATCATAATTTAAAATAATAATAACAATAATAAAATAGCATTAAAAATAATTTTTGAATAAAAAAAAATGCACTTGTAGAATGTTCAATAATCATTGAGTTATTTTCCTAGAAAAGTATTTATAGAAAATCATCGTATTTCGATAGCAGCTGTTCCAATTTGATATTTGTATAATACTTACTTTGTTTTAGATAAAGTTAGCTGTAGTTATAATTTATAAATATATATATATATTATATTAACCAATAGGGGAAAAACACTATTTTTAATGTCAAATGGAAATTTGAAAAATACGATACAAGACTATCAAAAAAATTCTCTCAATATTAATGTATTTATATTTTTATTTTTCGGATTTTCATACTGAATCTTCAAAAATCATAAAATATGCTCTAAAAAATGTAAGATCAAGATATATGCTCTAAAATCTAAAAATCACTAAGTATAAAAATATATGCACTAAAAACTTCTGATGTTTTTCTTAGTGTCTTGGAATGAATTTCTAACTCACTTAGCAATAAATCCAATGGTGCAAAAAATCATGCAAATACAACAGCTTCCGAGCCCTATTCATAGGTATGCAATAATAATAATAATGATAAAAAAATCTTTATTATTTAAAAAATATTTTCAACATTTTATGTTAACTTAAAAAGTAATTCCTTTTTTACTTAATTAGGTTTTTTTTTCATAACTTCGCTAGGTTTACCGATTCTGTTGATTAAAATATCGTAATACTATATTTTTGATTTCTAAAACATTATCCGGCCATTTAATCTATTATTGTAACGGGCCACCGGGATTTGTTCCGGTGTCCCGCCAGGCCAGTCCGCCCCTGCTTCATATCAATCAGCCGTTTAGCGTGTTCAAGATAAACCATTTTTTTCCTACGTAGAATTTGTAAAAATCTCAGAAAAATTTCGGGGGGGGGGGGGGTAGTTACAACCCCCAAACCCTACCACTAGTTGCGCCACTGTTTTCGGCCATTGATAAATATCCAGGATGAGTGAAAGATACGTTGTAACTCTTCAAACTGTCTATTGATTTCCGTTCGGTCAACGGAATGTCCGTTGCCGGGGTCCGATCGAACACGCGCGAAGTAAACGTCACCAGAAACCATTGCGATGGGTTTGTAAATCGTTTCGACAAAGCCATCTCGGATTATCAGCAGCCGAACGCGCCTGTGTGTCGTCCTCTAATTCGTCCGCGATAACGCACGCACGCAAATAATAATAGCGTATTGTTATAAACGATTGCCGGTGGTCTGACGGCGACGTGACACACAACAATTACTGTACGTTCACGACGGCCGGCCGTCTTCGGGTTTTTCATTTTCGCGTCGACAGCAGTCCGTGACGGGTCATCGCGATCATTGTGACAATGATCCGCGCCCACGACCGATCCCGTTTCCATCCGTAGACGGCGGTGCCGAGAGAGAGGCCTTCAACCGTTCAACCTGCAGCCTCGTCGCGCAACACCAACTCACGTTCCCGATCGTCGTAACATAGGTACGTGTACAACGCATTTTTAATCTAACACGGGCTATCGTCTGGCGGGGACGGTCGTGCACTTCGATGCAAGTAATTTCATCGTTGTAAGTTTCATCCGGACATTGTTCGGCTTCACGTAGATCCGGTGTACGCGGCACGCGGTCGAAAACGTTAGGAAACCAACGGGCAATCGATAAAACTCCTACGCGCGGTTTGTCGATAGTGTCTAAGGCTGTGTGGTGTCGGTACGATGACCAACAATTATCGACGGAGTTGTGTTTGAGTTGTGTTTAACAATAAACCGCTTTTGTTGGAAATCAGTCGGCTGAAAACAGTAGTCAGCAATAATAAATATTCGGTCGAAAAAATGATCAGCCTTGTCTTACGCTGAACCGTCCGTTTTAATACACCTAATGCGCTCTCGACTCCCACGGTTTCCCGTACAAATTCTTTCTGGAGCGCACCTGTTTGGAGGACGCTACACCCGTTGTCAGCTTTGATATTTACTCGCCTTTCCATATGGAAACGCGTGCGCGTTACGTGTAAACATAGCCATCTCCCCAAGGTTTATTTTCACTTTTTGTTAATTAATATCAAGATCTCAACTCTACCCGTTATACACATACGATCTGTAGGAACGAAACTCAAATAGTTAACGATTCGTTAACAAATCATGTTATGATGTAATTGGCACGGTAATCAATGTTATTTATCACACTAAGAATTTATTTACTGATTTCTACGGACAAATTTCTAAAATCATGACCGTTAACGTTCCTGATACTGTAGAGAATATTATTACATGCTTTGCAAAACGAAAATGTACTTTCATTACAACTAATTTATATTAATTATTTATAAAGTATATATATAAAAACAAATTGCACGATCATTTTGTACTTGAGGATGTTAGATTTTAGACGTTTCTTAAAAAATTATATAGTTTGATAAGAGCTCATTTGTACACCATAAACTATTACAGTTTTTCCCACCATTATGCAATAATCATATCTTATATTCATGCAAAACATATAATTTTAATACTGGAAACTTCCGAATGACGTTATCTAGAGCTAGGATTTTTATGTAACTGTTTGTTTTTGTAATTTCTGATTATTGCTTTTATCTGTAATGTCCACGAATCATCTTATGACGAGAGAAATAGTTTTTATATTTCATGTATTTGCATATTCTTGGATATTTTAAACAAAATTAATATTATTGCATATTTCAACTACTGGTACGCGAAAAAATGCTTGATGTATTATATATTTCATTACTAGACGTTTCATTGCATGCTAATATGTATTGACGCTGTACAAAAATACGCGTTTACGTTGTCGTGTTCTTTGTATTCGTTTCGTTCAAAAAAATATTATACTCGTATGCCAACAATTCAAAACGCCAATACAAGACTTTAACAGTTTGTCGAACGATTTTCTAAATTAGTTTTTTACACTGATATATATTCATGTAATTATTACTAAGCCCGTGTGCAATATGGGTTCAACTCCCCTCACTACCGAAAAAAACACTTTTAATATACTTATAAAATTATTAATAAATATAAATGTATGTTACTATTTACTTTTAACTAATAATTGATGTATATATTTTATACATTTTTTTTTTCAAACCCCCTCACATGATGAAATCCTACGCATGGGCCTGTTCGCCTGTTCGATACTTATTATTGTAATTGGTACTACTCTGGATGAAGATTTCCTAAATCTACTTCCTAGGGAAGTAATAAAATATAAATTTACCAAAATAACATCGAAGTTATAGTGAATATACGAACACATTAAACTGCAACAGAACATCGTTTGTTTTTTAGTATTTAAAACTCTGTATAATTGTTTTGTATAATAGTTTAGGACAATGTTTTATTAATTTTAAAACGTGTAACAAATGTTTTTATTTTTAAATACTTAATCATGTTTTTTGGAATTTATAATATTTGTTGCATTTTTTTTGGATATTTATACTAAACCAATTGCATATTTTATCATTTTTTTATGGGTCTGATATATTTGCCCGACACTCGAATGCCTGATACTACAATTTCCCGTCATTACATTTACCCGACACAACATTTGTCCCAGGCCCGAAAATATATTTTACATATTTTTAGTGTACGTAATACTGATGTACAATATTTTATTACTATTTCATTATTTTATTATTATTATTATTTATTAATATACAATATACAATATTATATGTACAATAATTAAAAAAAAACTAAATCAGACGAATATTTTATCATGGATACTATAGTTCTATGTGAAAAAGTACTGAGTATTAAGTATAGTATAGTATAGTATATTTTATTATTAAGTTCTCAATCGTGTTACCAAAAATAACATTCTCAGTCGTTCCATTCTCAATCGTATTTTACCGTTATTCGCGATAGATTCATAAGAATCGCTTATAACATTAAATTGTAAGTAGTATAATGTTTGTGTTATTATTAATTCTTGACACAATTATTAATTGCATAATTTTAAAATTTAACATTGATTTGTAAATAGCATAATAGGTATAATAAAATATATTATTGAAATTTTTAATAATTTTTGACACATATTTATTTATAATATAATTTGAGGTTGTTGGGCAAATGTAGTGTCGGTACTGATCCCTTTTTTTTATTACACATAAATCTTAGACATGGCTAAGATTTATAAATTACTATACTAAACAACCAAATAATAGCAAATACAATAAAGCTCAACAACACCAGAGGTGTTCTTAGGATTTTTTATTGGGGGGGGGGATATGAAAATGTACTAAAAAGTGAGCTGTGGGGGCCTTCACATCCCTTTTTGTATATAAAAACAACATACATTAAATGAAAATTAAAAATATTATATTGTTAATTACAACATTAAATTTACAAAATAATATTGAGTTTTCTTGATTTTTAAGCCATCATATCAAGAACTTCTTTGACATCAATTGGGATTACTCTATGGACGGCCAACAATGTTAAGACGATTGTCTATTATAAATGACATCAAATTATGAAAAATATGAAGTTATAATATTAATTTTTTAATTAAAAAAAAAAAATGTAGTATACTTGAATTACATCATTTCATTTTTTTCGTCAGTCGTAACTTGCCAATATAGATACTATACAAATCGATAAAAACAGTTGATAACACACAAATATGTTATTACTTGTATAATCGATGGTACCCTGAGACTAATTTATTGTTTACATTTTACATCAATATAATATTAGATTATAGATATTAATCTGTAACCGCGGTCTGTAATCTGTTATTTGTATACAATTGCATATTCCCATGGAAAATTATATCTACTCAAAACAATATTTATTTATTACATTTTCATTCAAATATTAAACATCACTCATCGGTTAATCATGAAATCCATCTTACCTAAAAAAAATATCATGGGGGGGAGATCCATTCTCCATATCCTCCTCGTGAAAACGCCCATAGGAAACGAAAACAAACTATTTATATTTTAAGGGACGACTTACTTTATAGTTTAAAACTTGTAATTATACTATATAATATTATTATTAAATTGTATATTTATATAATACATTTTGACTAAGGCACAAGTAAGACTCTCTACTCCTCTGAAAGTAAATTTTTTTAATGCAGTGGTTCTCAAACTTTTTTGTCCGTGGAGCCCCGAAAATCAGGAATTTATACTCAAGACAATAATAATTATTAATATTTCATATTGAGAATAACACACAATTCAAAATTTCATTTTTTTAAAGTTCGGATTTTATCATTTGCTATGAAAACTTTAGTAATTTTAAGTTGTATTGATAAATTTATTTCGTTTAATTTTGTGAAAATACCAGTCAAGTTATAAAGTTATGATAACCAAATTTTATCAGAAATCTTAGTTTTAAATAAAATTGGTGTCACTAAAACGTATAACTCGTTTAGCAATTCAGGTTACCATTGTTTTTCCTCAATAACTAAGAAATTTAATAATATTTAAATTTAGATAATTAATATATGCCCACGGAGTACCTAGACTTCTTCCGCGGAGCCCTAGGGTTCCACGGAGCACAGTTTGAGAACCGCTGTTTTAATGAGTAAAGTTATCATTTTTCCCTAATCTTCCCAAACGATTAAAAAAATATAAATATAAAACATATTTAGTAGGTGTAAAAATATTTCCGATTATATCTAGAATTAAATTTGGCAATTGTTTTTACCAAATTTATATTACCTAGCCATGTATAAACATTTATTTGAATGCTGAGGTAAGAAAGGCTAAGTATAAGGTTGTCCATCCCGGTATTTATTGAACGGATTATGTTTAGGACACACACAGTTACGCGTACATTTTCATTCATTGTTTGCAAAATGGTTTTGAAAGAGAGAATACTGAATAACTATCGTTGATCGTTATACGCAATCCTTTGTTAATTAGACACTTTATAGCGCGTTAACGTTAAACCTCTATCCGTTTCTGAATGGATAATTTTCTGATATTTTCAATAACGTTTCCGCTTCCAAGTGTAAATTACATTAGCATAGAAAGTATAGATTGACGCGCGGTGATTAAATAATTGTTATTAATATAATAATACTAATAATAATAATAAAATAAAAGTATTTATAGAAAATGTAAGAACTATACGAAATTGGACGATTTAAATCATATATACATTTCAGAATTAATGATTTTGTGTGTGCGGAAAACTTTTATAATAATAATATGGCATAACTGTAGAATCGATTGTTGGATTGCGTATTGTCTCCAATTAAACGAATGAATATGCGTATAAAATCTTACTTGTAAATTGAATTTTTAAGATGCTAACTGTTCATCAAATTGATAAATGATAGTATCAAAAACAATACAATGATCATTTATCGCACAAACACTACGCAGGTCAATCAAATCAACCGTTTCGAATTTTATCTCGGTAATAAGTCTTAAATGTTAATAATTAATAATTTAATAAAGTGCATTTAAACACAACTATTTAATCGCATTTATTATATTCAATGAAC